TGAACAATGTATTCAGTTCATTGGTACAGTCCAGACTTCCATCAGTCTGATCATTCTTCTGCTTGAAGCATGTGTCTTCCTAATCCCTAATGATACATCTCTGACATTGTTCTGCTTTCCAGTCTGTTCCTGTATGCCTCCTTTCTCTTATCTAGGCCTTAAGTTCCATCTGTATACTCCTCCTCAATTCCCCGTCTTCATTCTTAAAGGCTTGCTTTTCCTTGTTGAGCAATTGCTTCAGATCACTTGTGATCCTTTGTTTATTATTTGAGAAGCATTTTACTGTTCTACTTGAGATAGTGTTATCTATACAAAAGTTTATGTATTCGGTCAAACATCTTCTTCACAGTATGCGGCTGACAGATTGCAATCCCAATCTGTAGCCTCAAACAGCCTACCAGGGCTTCTTCAGCTTCATATGACCATTTTCTTCAGGTACTTTTTAATGCAGGTTGTTTCCTATAACGTAGAATATTCTGTGAGCAGAGAAAAACAAAATTATGATCCAATTTCTCAAGAGGAACCCTTACTTCAGAGATATATGAGTCTTTTTGTATGATTTTTTTTTGTTTTGTTTTTTTCTGGTACAGCATCTTATATACCAGGGGTAACCAATCAAAAATCAGCAGGGTCCAAATAAAGAAAATCCTCAACCAGTAAAGGTCCATAGACATTTTTAATGATATTTTACTTTAAACAGTATTTAACACTGAAATAAAATGAGGTGTTTATGCATTCATGTTGTACTCTGAAATTTTAAATACTAAAATAATATATATATATATATATATAAATAGAACGTTTTTCCATTTTAAAATTCAAATTGTTTTTTGAAGTAGAGAACAAAAATCTTTCAGTTTGGTATATAGACAATTTCCTGATTCACATATTTTTTAAAACACCTGAACTGACTGTTTTTGTTGTTTTTTTGAACCTTTTTCTTATTGAGAGCAGTGGGCTTTATGCTGCCCTGCAAGGCTTTAAACCTGGGTTTGAATGGAGACAAAGCCATTCTCAAGCACATATCAAAGTGCTCATTCAAGAGCCTGGATCCATATTTATTTTTGATTCTGTTCATGGTGGAGAATCCTGCTTCACAGCAGCAGGTTGAGCCAAACATACTCAAAATGTGCAGGCTCCACTCTGGTCCGGCCAGGTCAAGATCTGCTTTTTCGATCGCACCAAACAGGAAAAAGAACGGCAATTGTTATATTAAAATACAGTAACAACAGATCAGTAACTACACATTTTACAGTGTCCTATCTGGCAATGTGGCAATAAGAATTATTGTATTGATGCCAAAAAGAGCCCAACAGATTTTACTTTCACAAGTGGAGCAGTACGGCTGTTGCCATAGTGTTCCGCTTGATTTATGCATATAAATTGCTTCATTATAATTATGCAGGGAGTTTTACAGATTATGTGGACACTGCAATGTAAGTAAAACAGAAAATGAAAACCCCCAAAAAATGTAGAAAAGAAGAAAGAAAGAGAAGATAAAAGGGAGAAAATGATAAAAAAAACTTCAGTCTGCTTCATCACCTGCAAAGAACAGCACAACCAACGGACATGGTACAAGACATACAATAAGGTGAGACCATCTGTTTTTTAAAAGCACTCGCAATGCACTCCTTTGAATTTTCATGTCATCTTTAAATCTCTGTCTGCTGTCAGAAAGCCAAGGAGAGAGACACTGGAGTCTGAGATACGATCCTGCAGCATTATGTGTTTCAGTGAAACACATAATGGTGCATTCTGGTTGGGTCCTTACCAGGACTTGGAGTTTTTCTTACTTGTTTCCTAAAGATCTCACATTACCCTGGATGACTGTTGGAAGACATTGCTTAAATTTCTTGTTCCTCTCTAATCTGATTGCTCATGCTCTGCATCCCGGGAAAACCCCTTTTTGAATTTGGCAGGTACTTGTTAAGGTACTTGTTGTAATATTTTAACTGCAGGTATGGGAATTTGCTGCTTCTGGGTGTAAATAATCAACTTTTCATGGTTGCTGTGGTCACAATTCATAACAACAATCCAAAAATAAAATAATATCAGTACAAATACCTACAGTTTCACAGCATTCAAGACCAGATGCAGAAAAACATCAGAAAAAAACTCTGGTCCACAAATGTAGAGACTAAAATTCTCATAAAAAAGCACATCAGAGTCAAAATAGTACAGCAGTGCAATTCCCCTTTGTACCAAGCAAGTACTTAAATATGTTCAACATTTAGAAACTCCAAATGACAAAAAAAATCGTAGATTCTATTATATATATATACATACCGTATATATATATATATATATATATATATATAGCCATTCTAAGTGTGAAGGATTTTACATATTGCTATAAAATGAAACAGTTATTTCTCTTGCTGTCTTACATACCACCAGATTGTTTTACAAA